GTAGCCATGCCACATCAATAATTCAAAGCAATGCTTTATGGCGTCGACCGATATGCGTGACGTATTGGTATAAAACAAATTGTTTACGCGATGTAAAATCAAATTGAACCAGGTGATTCGATCATTTCGATTCCTGGATAGAGCTCCGAACAGGCATATAAATAACCTGATCGAATTTAAATGAATAGTTTCAGTGACTCCTCCGTGATTTATAGCTCTTATGAAAACGTTTAATGAAGCGATTTATATTCATAGTGGGATAGTAGAACACCTCACGAACAAACTTTGATATTTAAGAGTATGGAGTATGAAGCGGAAAAATGCCTATATTCCAAAAATTCAGAAGAGGATAAGGCTCAAAACTTTTGCTTATTCTGAGAATAAAGTCATGATTTTAAAGACTGTCAAGCTGCATTGAACATTGATGAACCTAAAACTGACATCGTGACTTGTCTGGAAATACTGTAAAAAACTGAAAGGACTTACAAACAGGGATAGATTGACTTTACACAGGGTGGTAGGATACTAAGAAATCAAAGGCAACAAAAAAAATATTGAGTGTCCTAGATAAGGATCATCAACTCCCTGAACCAGCTGTGGGGTCACAGATCCTTTGGTTCAAGAGCAAATGATACATTAAAAGTAATGGCAAAATATACCCAGGAATACCACGAAGATCTTTATGAAGGAGCTGTCAGAGAAAGAACTGAGAAACTGTTCCAACAGAGCAGGGATACGCTCTGAATAATTATAGGTCACTGGACACTGCCCATAAAAATGTAAACAACTTATAGACAACATCAAACCCAGAAGTACATCAAACAAGGTACCTGTACGAACTGATACAGAATACACGATGGGTGTGATAGGAAGAATGAATGAGTAGAACACATAGAGAATGGAGAAAATGTGCCATATATGAGATGTTAGTGAAGAACTTGTAACCCAAATCCAAACATGTTATTAGCCTATAATGTTTTGGAATATATTCGATAAATATCACCGATCTAAGATGTTTCCGCGAAAATTTTTTGCCAAAAAAATTATCCTATCAAATTTGTCTATTTCTAGTCATGTGTGTCGAAATAACCAATGAAACCATCATTACACTGATAACTACCCATGGATAGTTTTCACGGGTAGTTATCACTTATGTCATGACATTGCTAAGCAACCAACACAATAAAGTTGTTTGACATTTCAGTAATTCAATTTATTTCGAAAATGTCACTTCCTCGCTTTGGTGTTCAAAATGATGCGACAATTGACAAAATCATTGAAGAAAATACACCAAAAAATACTGTCAATAGTAAAACATACACTTGGAAAATATTTATGGAGTTATATCATTATACGAATTGCTCTTTTAATAACTGTGTGTTCAATAAATAATTTTGTTCGAATTGCAAAAAATTTTCTCACCGAATATCCCTCGAACATTGATAAATAACTCATAATTTTATCACAACTTCCTCAAGCACGTTATTTTAGGTAACATCCCTCCGCCTTCGGCGTCGGGATGTTACCAAATAACGTGCTTTCGAAAACTGTGATAAAATTATTTCGTTAGTTATCAATGTCCTTGGGATATTATAGCTGAGAATTACATGAACTGGTACTCGTAGGAGTAAGATCAGTTTGATTCATTCAACAAATCCAGAGTTGCGGGAAAAATTGAAACCGCGAAACTATGAAGTGGAGTAAAAACAGTGACTTCCACTCTTGGAAAGATTCTGGGGAAGATCTTTGTAGTAATCTGGAAGTTTATTGTAAAGGTCAAGGTCCAGCGAATTTTTTCTAGATTTATTCAACCTATATCGTTGACATCTAATATTTCCAGATCTTGTTGGGTAATTAAGGTGTACAAAATTATCGAGTAGTATTTATGCGAATGAAATAGTGAAAAATAAGCAATTTTGATAGTTGTGAAGCTTAGTATTTGTTTCTGTCTTCGAAGCATGAAGATTACACTTAATAATGTTTTCCATAAATAATGTATATGACTGACCCAAGATAAATTGTCATTAATATGTACTCCTAGTAATTTCACTGATAAACCCTGTGTGACGTCTATATGTAAAAAGATGGTTGGAGATTGTGTTTGGCTTGATTCAGATTGGATTTATTCGCTGTAAATCATTTCCTAACTTCAATTCTACTATCAATGGCAAGATGTTTGAGGGAGTTGATATTCTTGTCGGAGTTTATTATGGTAGTATCATCAGCAAATGTAACAGCTTTATTCGGCAATAAAAAGTGATGACAATCATTAATGTAGATGATGAAAGTAGTGGTCCCAAAACAGACCCTTGAGGGATACCATTTTCAATATGACCTAGGTCAGACACAACGCCATCAATAGAGACAACTTTTGACTCTGAAACAGATATAAATCTACGATTTGCCAATCAGTACCTCATGTGATACAGTCAAATGCCTTGGTTAGGTCGCACAGTGTGAGCCTAGTATGCTTACTCTCCTCAATACCTTCAACTGCGTCCATTATTCCTTGCAAGAGCGCATTCGTTTGTTGAGCTACCACCTCTGAGCCCAGATTGAGCATTGTCAAATAATGCATTGTTTTCGAAGTATGTGAATCCCTTATTGTCCCACACCTCAATTATGCTGTCAGCATATATGGCCTTGTTTTACTGCCAGTTGACATTTGCCGACTTCAGCTGATGCAAAATCTATGTATAAGGCTCATATGTGGACCAAGCCTTTGCATACCAAGCCAAATTTCTACTGCATTTTATGAAACAGGTTGGTTGGATGTAGAAAAAGGTTTTTTTATATTTCTGTTCTCTCGTACACAAAGTCATATTATTCAAAATACAGCGTTATCCGTTGTTGTGATATTTCTATAAAAAATGCATGATGTTTCATAAGTCAGCTTACTATTTCCTGCTTCAACTTCTCTTCTCGAATTATCTTTCTCTTATACAATTGCCAATATTCATAATTGTATTCTATCGAATTGAAAAATGTTTCCCAATTCACATCAGTCACTGCCCTCATTGCAAAAAACACGTTAATTATAGATTAATTTGTACGGGTTCATATGTACAGTATTTGCGTAATTATTTGCTGTCATAAATTCTGTAGTTTCTGTAGTGATTTTAGAAAACAAAAAAAAACTAAATGTTTTCTGGTTGAATGAAAAAGCGCGAGGAGACATTTATCTTGAAGAATTCTTGAGGCATTGAATTCAACCTGGTTACTTTAACCCCAATTCGAAATCACTTCTAGATCCTCACTGGAATATGTAACCTCCTGCTGCTAGTGAAGATGTGCATTTGCAACTGATGTCCTGGAATCCGAATGAAATGATGAGACAAGTGTGCTGTCGTCAGCAAACCCATATATTGGATTTTCCGTTTTTCCAATAAGTTATTGATATATAATAAAGGAAGGATTGAAGACAATGTAATAAAGAAAGGGGTGAAGACCATATGGATCCCTGTAAAACACCAGCGTTGAGATATCAAGAGATATCCATTGACGGCCACTTGCAGGGATCGTTCTTTCAGGAAGCTGGAGAACATTACACAAAAATGATTCGACAAGCCATATCATTGTATTCGTGTCACGTGCCAGTATAAGGATGTCTGCAGAATGCTGTATAATGTCCCCTGTAAGTAGACCCACTGTGATTCGAAAGTGTATATAGATTATTACGACAAGGAGTCACATTTTCTGCTGCATAATTATTCATATCTAATCCATCTAGAGGAAATTCGATGGCAACATTTAACTTGCCTCTAAATCTTTCTGTTTGAGAAAATCTTTTAAAATGAATGACTAAAATACGGGGAAACTTATGGATCGATAGGGACTTCTTTCTTGCAACTTGAACACGTCGGTTTTTCATGTCCATCCAAAGTTTCCTTCCTTGTGAAGAAATCCAAGCACTGTGATGAACTCAATTGGCCAGTTCTTTGTGTTATGGGGAGTGACAAATCCCAGAAAGGATCGAAGGTTACAGATGAGTGTCCACAATATGTGCACTTCATCGTGGATTTTGATTGACCGGCGAAATTATCTACAATCTATGTACTCAAATAAATCAGCCACGGCTCTTGTGCTTTTCTGATAGAAAGTCGCATGTTAGTCTTTGTTTCCGAAAGCCATATTGATGATCGATCAAAATGTTGAAGCCTTCCAACTATTTGGGGTTTACTGTTTTAATAGGTTTCAATCCATTGGGCTCCAGCACCTCTCTTTTTCTTCATTAACCGACTCTTCTCAAGATGCCAAACCAAATGTTTCAGATTGAGGATGAACGCTATCACGAATACTGCCATTTTCCTTTGCTTCTCGTCTTCCAGGTGAATGTAAATTGTTTTTTATTTCTTTAGCTTTTCTCTTCATTTCCTTCACGAATGTTTTCTCGAACTGGTCATTCGAAGTTTTTGGAATTTAGGAACGATTTGCTCTGTCAAATTAGTCGGGCCAAACATAATCCATCGATAGGCTTCAATTCAAACTGGCACCAAGTCTTTGGAATTTACACCGACCGCTCTATATCGTGATCACGTCGGGGTTACCAATGTTTCTTTCTTTCAGAAAAATTGGTCAATTTGAGCCAATAGATCCAAATTTAGTCAAGAAGAATCTTTATTGCCGTTTTTACTTTTTCCAATCCGTTACTGACAATACTTGTTTACAAAACAAATGAACACAAATAAACATACAGAATAATGAATGTTGAGTAAACATCTATTTATTATAGGAATTCCTGGCGATTTTCATAGGTTTCTGCGTTATTTTTATGTTACTATGCGAAGTCAACACGTGATGATTTATTTAATTCCATCGGAACATCCGTACTAATCTCTCCTACATATTTCATTTCTAGAGAAAAAATAAACCACACACGAGAAGTACAAGTATAAACAACAGATCATTTGTTGTTATTACTGCACATTAAATCAATATCACGAACCGAAATATAGTTGTTCAGTAACGTACGAGAGATGTATCACAAATCCAGAGTTGTAATGATATCAAACCCCACGTACTTGTCTCACAACTGTCTGAAGTATTTTCTGAGTTTGGGATTGTTGTTTGGAATATTTCCACTAGAAGGGTTGACTTATATGGATCCTTCCAAGCTGAAATTCCGTATCTTGTCTATGAAAATGTTATACACGGCATTCCTTTTGTTCGTGTACGTCTGTTGTTGCATATTGGCTGGTATTGAAAGCTTCTCGAATGGAATGGTTGTGGGTCGACTGAGTGAGTAGACTTGTGTGTTTTATTTTCCGAAAGCTTTCGATTGTGTCAATCATGATATACTTAAAAAAAAGGCATAAGAGGGGCATGTCTTGAGTAATTCAAATCGTACCTAAAATGCAGATCCCAACTGATGAAAGTTAATAATGCGTACTCTGACAATGCGGAGTGCCTCAGGGATCTATTCTAGGGCCCATTTCATTTCTTTTCATACATCAACGATCTTGCTACAGTCGATATTGAAGGATGATGCCACATTGTTACGGCATGAAAAAAATACTACCAACTTGAAAAAAATCATTTCATTAGATTTAGAAAAGGTTAAACGCTGGTGTGATTCTAATTTACTATCCTTCAACGTAGACAAGAACAAAACTGTGAACTTTACACTCACCGATCTAAGATGTGTTAGCTGAAATTACATGACCTGGTAGTCCTAAGAGTTTCTTGGTCTGCAAGAGTTGAATTTTGAGGAACATATCATATTTTTATGCACAAAATTGGCTTCAGGATTATTTGCTGTCAAAATCGACTCCAATAAACATGATATATTCACTGCTAGATTGACTTACTTTGCATTTTGGGGATTCTGTAGTAAACAACTATTGAGTCAGTTCTTCGTGTTGCGAAAGAGATCTTTGTGGTTTTTATCTGGAACAAACTATAGGGATAGTTGTAGACAACTTTTCGTTCAATACCGAATTCTCACTCTATTCAGCATCCTCATTCTTGAAGTTGTTTGCCTGATTCATGAAAGATATTGCACCGATTCTGATGCACATATAATTCACAACACAACACAGAACAGTAGTAATAATATCCATCTGCCAATGTCCAGATTGACTCTAACGAAACACTCTAAGATGTACGAAGGAAAAAAATGTTCAACCATTTACCACGGGTGGTTAGGTATATAACAGAGCACAGACGTTTCAGGAAGTCGGTCAAAAATATTCCTGCAGGCTTATTATAGCTTGTAGAAATATCATAATGACAAATTGTAAATATTCTCAGTGTTCTGTGAAACAATATATACTTACGTTCATGTTTTCATTTTTATTATTATTAAACTTATGTTCTTGTTTTTATTTCACACTAACACGTGTATGTGTAAAATAAATTGTGATACAATTGTATTTAGAAATTGTATCAACGAAAAAGTTAATTCATACTGGAATATTAGTGAAACTTTCGATCATTTTCAGGACCATTAGGAGTTGTAATATTTTGATTTGTGAAGATACTCTCACAAATTTTCATCCTAATCGGCTCGACTTCTATCAGGTGTTTCATGTGTGTTTACTGTTCAAAAAATCGATTCATAATAAAAAAGGTTTCAAAATAATATTTCTCCAAGAATATGAGACTTTTCTAATAGTAAGATCACTTCATTTGAAAAGCAAAATATATTTCAAATAATATACAAGTGTCATGAAAGCTTCAAAACTGCAAAATGTCTCTCCTCTCATCTCACTATATTCAATACTAGCCGATCGAAGGAGCGAATTGAATATTTTTCTGTTATCATACCAAAGCAAACATTTTTACACTTACCAACACTAAAATGGGATACTTCAATTTCAATTCGATACACTCATTTCACTTACTCGCTGTCGCTTGTGATTTCGTCGCTTATATAAACTCCGAACTTCTTCAATTGTGAGCGTATGTTTTTGTCTCAAATTATCGATAGTAAAGGTGAATTCCACCAAACCGACCACAAAGGTGAAGTTAGTGAGGTGATGTGGGTGTGCTCTGTTTTCGATTTTCTGTTTATGTAATTTTCCATAACTCATTTAGTGAATAACCGCATTCATTCCTGAACTTCTTTGACCTCACTTCTGAAGTCTGTAGCTGCATTCTTTCAAACTGTCCTAGTTGATCCAACAGCTTCAACAATGTCTCTTGTTCTTATTCTTTTTACTTGTTCATTCTGGTATTTCTTCCTTTTGCGTCCTTGAATCCTCAGTTCTTCTTTCCTCAACAATTCGTTATGTCATAGCTATTTCAACAACATCTCTAGATATTTAATTTTCTCCCTTTCTCATGTGGAAGTTGCCAACTATAGTCTATAGTTTCATATACAGTCAGTGGGCATACTTGATCACTGGCTATAAATCAAATTATCAAAGAACAATTCGTTCAGGCCAGTCTCAACTCCCTACACAGTAGGTTAATGGACTGACACTTATCAGAAAACAACTACTCCCCTGACTAATACCACGAAGGGCGTTGGATTATATCCGACAGGTGTCAGTGCAGGATTCTTTACAGAAGTTATTCCTGATATGCTGTTGGCGATAGGTGTCAGTCCATTAACCTACTGTGTAGGGAGTTGAGACTGGCCTGAACGAATTGTTCTTTGATAATTTTATTTATAGCCAGTCTTCAAGTTTGCCCACTGACTATAAGTGGAAGTTTTCTTTCCTTATACAAGGAATTGGGCAAATTTCGGATATGCAGTTGGTTACCTCGTTCACAGGCAGATGGGGCGACGACAAGCTTGTTGTTTGTTGTATGCTTCAGCTTAGTTCGAGGAATGATACTCTGACGGAATTCGATTTTCAATTATCGGAAATCATCGACTTTATGTTGATGATATACACTACCTTGCACTGGCGAGTGCCCAAACAGCCCGAAACCGGTCTGCAAGTGTGTTCCAATAATTGAAAATCTATTGCGGCAGTTGTATCACCAACAGCATATGCAGGAATAGTTTCTGTGAAGAATCCTGCACTGACACCTGTCGTATATAATCCAACGCCCTTCGTGGTATTAGCCAGAGGAGTAGTTGTTTTCTGATAGGTGTCAGTTACTGTATAGTCTATAGATTGAATCAAATCAGCAATTTTGGTATATAAACTTCAAAATGTTCTTTATAGAATAATGTTATGTCTGCAATATTGAAACAAATGGGATTGAATTAGCAAGTCAAACTTAAATGTGAAAAATAAATAAGAACTTTAAAAACTGAAGAAACACGCTTTAACAGCAACACAAACTAAAGAATAAAAATAGTTCGAAACTTTTTTAACTTTGTGTTCGATTTCAATAATAAATTCTATGGAAAAGAAAGTTTTTGGCTTTCTACTACTCCATCTTGATACAAAGTCCTATGACTTGATGTAGATAGGTAGGTCTAAAGTGAGTGAGCTACAATAAACCCAAAAGGGTTTATTGTAGCTCACACCTATTCAAACTCGGCCAAATAAACCCAGCTTCTTAACGAAGCCGATTAGTTTGTATGGTGAGTGGTCTTTCAGGTCAGATGGTGAGAGTACGGATCTGCAGAACTCTGAAAACCTGATTCGGTCCCCAGCGGGGCAGGCACAAAGTAAATGCTCTGCTGTTTCATCATTTTCCAGACAGAGGCGACACACACTGTCTTCCGACAGTCCAAGTCTCTGCATATGATGATTCAAATGACAGTGACCTGTAATAAGGCCTGTTAGACATCGTAGTTCATCCCTACTGTAGTCCAACAACTGTTTGGAATCAAGCTTCGAAGGGTGAATAAACCCCTTGGAGTGAGCCAATCCTGGAAGATTCTGCCAGAAGTCCATAACTCTTCTTGCCATCTAGGTGTTGAGTGTATGTTTGGCAAAGCCCAAAGCGATGCCAATGACAGATTCTGGTCCAATGAAGCCGCTTGTAGCACCCTCCTTTGCAAGAGAGTCAGCAGCTTCATTGCCTTCCAGGCCAGTATGGCCAGGAATCCAGACCAGAGACAATCTGTTAAGTCTTCCTATCGAGGAGAGTCGTTTTTGGCAGTTTGCTACCAATTCAGACTCGGTAGGAGCCAAGAGCTTCCAACGCCACTTGAATGTCCAAGAATATTTTTATTGACTTGTGTGTGAGGTTGGATTTATCCAATCTCTCCGCACACAATTCAATAGCGAAAATTTTCGCTTGAAATACAGTCGCCAAGTTCCTAGGCAGGTAGATAACTCTATCCTGGGTCTGCGACTGAACTAATGTTTGATGTAACTAATAACTTTCAAAATCAGAATAAATCTTATAAAAAAATATCAATTTTGTTGTAGAAAAGCGTGAGGTACTAAATATCCATTGTTATAAATACTTGGTTAGGAGCTTTTTGTCAGATTGGAGCCACAATAAAAGCATTCCATGCTTTTAAATTTTTTTTGTAAATGGATTAATCCTGTTTCAGACTTATTAAAAGGCATCAGTTACATCAAGCCATAGAACTTATCATTGGTGTTGAACACCAATAATTATTGATTAAAAGATATTGAAGTCTCAATAATAATTCTTGGCCAGATTTTCTTGTTATTCAAGTCAAAAGGCAACCTTCCAGCTGAAAAACTACTTCGTATCATTATAATGTGAATCACTACTTTCGCACAGGCACCGCTCTTAGAGCACCTCAAGAATTTTCCTGTAGTGCTTGTGTTTTGTCCTTGAAAAAATAATTATATAAATCTGCATCTATTAAACCTTTTCAAAATCTAAACTGATATCGTTTTTATTTTTTCCAGTATCTCCGCTTTTTTATTTTCATATAAGTGGAATCATCGTTATGAGTACAAAGATAGCTAAAGCTTGGCCAAAATTCATGATGAAGGTGTATTTGGAAGAGATGCACTTCTCCAGAAGATATATAATGAAAGCAAAGTTGAAGGCCAAGTTGAATAAAATTGTATTTGTGGCAACTATTGCAGTTATGAGTATGTACCATTAATTTGTATTTCCATTGTTGACGAAATATTTCTGTCTTTTGACATTCGAATTTTCCCATTTGAAAGAACCTAACTGAGAAGAAATACATGACTCGAAGTTACCATTCCGCAAATTTCATACTGAGAAGTACCTCTCCGTGGACTGAATCGATTACAGTAAGGCATGTGCTCTGCAACTTATCATGAACCATTAGGCTCTTGTCCACTATCTTGCGATTTTCGTTCAAATTTTGGAGAGACATCCAACAAACATATACCAATCGAAACCAGATCCAAAATAAAGCTTTCCTCATCCAACACCAAACAGCTATGTTTCAACCCACCATCATCAGTAGTTCTAGGCTGAACTACTAATGCATTGGTAGACTCAAGTATCCTCAAAGTATAGACCTAAGTAATTTTTGAATAGAACTGGCCGATACTTGATGAAAATCCATAGATATTTAAAAAAAACTAATAAATAGAGTTTATTCTATGATTTTCACTATAAGGGTTTTACAAAAACCGCGACACGTGTTTCGATATACAATAGCTTCATAGAATAAACTCTTTTTATTAGTTTTTTTTTATAAGTAATTTTTGGGAAAGACAGGTTTTGGCTTTCTACTTCTCCATCATCATACAGAAACGTGTAGGAATCTTCCAAAGACAGAAAAAAATAATTCATTTCAAAATGCACTCTTCACAAAGATGTGTTTGTTATAACTAAAAACCATTTTTCATCAATGTTGATTCAATGATTTCGAATTATCACTTTCTATGGCCGTGAACCGAAGGTTCAGAAAGTTACGGCAAATTTTTACAGTCAAAATTATTTTTTCAAAATACCTTCGAAACGATTGCTTGCATCAAAAAATTGTTGAACTAAAAAGCTGTGTATAGAATAAGAATGCGTCGTTGAGATCAACTACATGTCAAAATATTCAAAGGGGTACAAAATGGAACCGATTTACCTGTTTTTTGAAGAAAAAAAAATTCTAATACCATCACAAATGGTTCTGGGTCCATGAATTTGCTTGATTTAGTTAACATAAATAGGTTTTGTTATTCAATTGTTTCGTCAGGGTCATCATGGAAAAGTGCATTATCTGTGACGTCAAAGAAGAACCAAGAATTGGTCAAAGAAAAGCAAAATAAATATCATTCATCCAAATCATTGTATCGTCTGGAAAAGTAGGCTCTTTCCGATACTTACACTTACGCCAACGTACGACCCAATCATCAAAACATTATTTAAACGCATTTTTTGGAATAGACTTCAGTACTTGCTGCGAATTTTTATAATTTTTCGACTGAAAACGGGTGGTTCGAAGGGGTAATTCAAAATTTGGGGGAAAAAAATTGTCGGAGCCATATTCGTGTATCAATTTTTTGAGCAGAATTTCCAGCCTTCATTATGTTCGTGCCAAATCTCTGTTGAGCTGAAATTACTTACAAAGAATGATAAAGCAGCACTATTGTTGAGCTGAACTTACTGCACTTAGTAACGCAATATGAACCATCCAAAAACTTTTACGCGCCCCTCAAATTCGGCTCATATCTAAACCATTAATTATTATCAAAGTTCCAATGCATTACCGTCAGTGTCTGAGTTAATTTTTGTTACAGCCGAACACGTTTTAGCTACTGCTAACTTTGTATTTTCCGTTGACTGCAGAAATGACGCGGTAGGTTTCGAGAATTATGTGAGAAAGCAGTTCCATTTCATTTTCATATATCTCCCATATAACACATTCAGTGGAATTTTCATAGTGGTGAGTGAAATCAAGTTCCTGATATGTTTGATCTGCTATTAACATATGCGAGAACTGATGCTTTTATATTCAGTCATCAATTTATCATTCACATTCTATATTGTCAAGAATTGTGTAGTCCGGTCATTATACAATATTGAATTAACGAAAATTGCGAAAGAGCTAAATTTTGGTGAAGACCTTCATTTCACCATGAAAAATAAAAATTTGAAAGTCCTAATCTGTCCCATGAGCGTTCCAAAAGTTATTCGGGGTCATAGTCAAAATTTCAGGATTTTTGAGTTTTTTTCGAAAACCGTGAGTTTTATCAAAAAAATACTTCAGACCAAAGTTGTAGATCTCAAAATTCTCTACAAAAATGATTGTGATAATTTTTTTTGTAAGTATCACCGTTCCTGAAATATCGCAACTGTAAAAGTCACGTTCTATGTAATATGCACACATTAGCCACGTATATACACATTCAGGTACTTAAGCAGATAAAAATGTTTGTTTGTGTCTCTTTTATGTATGTACTTTATATTATATTCAGAAAATATACATTTAAAGGGCCGTCAGTCCTTTCGAAAATCCCCTCTACCCGTGTGGCCTTGAATATAACATCTGGCTACCTATTCTATTGTCCATGTGGCGTCGTTCATGTGCCTGCTTCTTTTAGTGTTCAACGTTCTGTTCGTATGAATATACGTATTCATTACAAGCGTCTAGTGTAAGAGTTTTTGATGATTATTATTTGAAAAAAAAATGTCGCAATCTTGCTTTATTTGCTCTAAGCTTTTGACTGAAGGTGAAACTGTTGTGGTTAATCGTGGAATGCAAACTTTAATCGATGCAAGTGATGCGAGAAGTGATGAGTTTACTGAATATTTAAGAGGTCTAAAGTCGTTACAATCCACGTGGATTGCCGAAAATCATACACCCGAAAAACTTCAATTGCCGCAGCTAAAAGAACAGTAGATGAACGAAGCCGGTTCTATCACACCGGAAATTCAATAAACAGAAGCAATGAAGTACAGCGTTTTCGACCATTTTTTGTGCGTTTTCGACCGTTTTTCGTGCGTTTTCGTGCGTAACCGTCATACTTGACCAACTGCGCAACGAAAGCGCTGCATGAAAAGCGTTACACGAAAAAACCTTACACGAAAGCGTTAAGGAAAAAACTTCACATGAAAAAAACGATCGTTTTTTTTTCGTAACGCTTTCGCGTAACGTCTCTTCGCGTAACGCTTTTCGTGCAGCACTTTCGTGGCGCAGTTGGTCAAGTATGTGTCGATTACGCACGAAAACGCACGAAAAACGGTCGAAAACGCAGGAAAAACGGTCAAAAACGCACTATACTTCATTGCTTCTGTTAGTTGAATCCCCGTTGTAATAGAACCGGCTTTGTTCATCTACTGACAACGTGAAGATGAACAAGCCAGTACTTCAAAAGTGAGTCCACCTAGTACTAGAGCACGAGTAAGTGAATCCAGCTTTAGTTTTACAGAAAACTGCTTATTTTGTGGCGATGAAGCAGATGAACAGGCTGAGAAAAAGAAACCACAGAGTCTTCGAAAAAAAATTCACAAAGTTTCTACACTCAAATTTAAAGAATCTAATTTGAAATTAGCTAAAGATCGTTCTGATGACTTATCAAAAGCTGTCGTTGATCGTATTAATTTTGAATGTGAGTTAGTAGCTGCTGATGCTCAATACCATATTAGTTGTTACAAGTCTTCTCTAAGATCTAATATTGACGGTAAAATTGGGCATCCACAAAGTGAAGCTGTAAACTCTGCGATGGAGGAAATTTATGAATTTTTGGAAAATAGTAACGACTGCCAGTTCACGTTAGATGAATTAAAGGATGTTTGAAAAAATGTAGCTTCAGATAATTAAATTCTAAAAGTACGATTGAAGTTAAAATATGGTAGTAAAATTATTATTACAAAAAAACACGGGAAATTAACATTTATTTGTTTTGTAGACAATTACCAAGACATTTTAAGTCATGGTCTGATAATAAGAACTTGGATGAAAAAGAAAAACGGAGAAAAATTTTGAAAGCTGCGACAGCGATCGTTCGGGAAGATATTCAATATTGTGTGTTTGACAATAATGAAGTATTGTGACTAAAAATTACGTAATAACGATTTGTGGAATAGGCCTACTGGGGAAACGACGTTAAAAAAAAGGCGCCGAGTACACTACCTCAAAGGTGGTGTGGAAACGTGCATATTACATAGAACGTGACTTTTACAATTGCGATATCTTAGGAACGAAAAAATCAGGACCATTTTTGTAGACAATTTTGAGGTCTATAGCTTTGGTCTGAGGTATTTTCTTTGATAAAACTTACAGTTTTCGAGAAAAACTCAAAAATCTGAAATTTTGACCTTTGACCCCGAATAACTTTCGAAGCGCCCATGGGACAGATTAGGACTTTCAAATTTTTATTTTTTATGGTAAAATGAAGGTCTTCGCCAAAATTCAGCTCTCTCGCAATTTTCGTTATTTTGTTACTGTTTTCAGGCCTAAATTGACCGAACTATTGGTCATTTTTGAAAAGCACGAAATGGCAACATGCTGTACTTTTCAATAATACTTTGTAGGTCGTTGGATGGATATCAACCTACATATGGAACTTTGGAGATATTCTGATAGTGCTTATGTGCATAATATTGACATTTAGATTCGACCAACTGAAATACAAAATTGTTTGCTATGTGAAATCAATCAATTTATGTGGACGTAGGGACATCGTGAACTTATGTCAGAATCAAACACAGGTAAGTGATTTCTGGACCTGGCGATTCCGAAATTTAATGCGCATATTGAGAAGTTCTCAAAACGTTGACTGTATTATATTATAATAATAATAACAATTTATTTTCTCAGGAATATACAATATAGAAAAGAACAAAAGAAAGTTCATTCAATTCGCTGATATAAAACTGTATGAATTTTATACACTATTGATGACAATATGATACATTTATTTGAATTTTATTTTGCTGATATTCCTCAAAGAAATTGGTAAATTATTATAAATATGATTCAAAACCACTTCCATAAATTGATTGTTCACCAATATTCGATGTAATATTCAGTACCCTCACAATTTTTGAAAGCTTTGTTAAATAACACTAGTTTACAGCCAATTTACTACTGTAATGCCGAAAGTAGTTCTTTGTTAATTTCCTAACACGTAAGATTTTTGAGTTATGATTTTTTTCACAAAAATTTAATGAACACGACATTCCAAATTTGCTTTTCTCCTAAATTGATAAAATTGTTTGAAATCTGGCAACACAGCGGCTCTGCCCAGTATTTGAAACTGCTTCCGCTGTATATGAGACTTATAATGCCGCTCAATAATTATAAATATTGATCACTGATTATTCCAAAAATCAAATTTGTATATTTCAATTTGTTTTTTTCCAGATGCATAATAGTGCAAAGCTTGAGTTTGTATATCATTGATATGGGTAATATGTTTTTTGGTATGTATAAATCAATAGTCGGTTCCTTATAATACAATTTGAAAATATATTTTATAAATTCTTAAAATACACCATATGTTCACACTACGATGAATTTTCATCTATGTAAAGCCCTTAAAACATAACAAATGATGAATAGTTGATAGTTTCAAATTTACATAATATTGTATACGTTTGAAAATGTCCTTATAGTAACGTTAGTCACAAATTCAAGTGGTGAAAAACATAGAAAGTTTCATTTCTCATTTTTCATGATGATCTGCTACCACGTAGTAACGGCTACATCGTTCAATTTATAGGAAACATATTAATTTTTTTTTACTGAATATATCAAAGATGTATCATTAGCAAACATAATAACTTCTCCTGATGGATTCCAGTCAGCCATTGAATTCAATTATATATGAGGAAAAGTATCGGCCCGAAGATAGATCCTTGTGGGATCCAGTCAGCCATTGAATTCAATTATATATGAGGAGAGTATCGGCCCGAAGTTAGATCCTTGTAGGATCCCACATATTAAAGTTTTCCTTGGCCCAAAAATTTTCCCGATATATACAAACTGGTCTCTTTTTCACCTACAGATTGAGAGGGGAAAAACTAATGCTTTCATGAACAAACAGAATTAAAATTTCACACCAAGATTGTAAATATATTAAAGGTCGACTTCCGTAGGTAAACAGATATTTCAAGCAAGAAATTGAAAAAAACTTTGAAGTTATATTAGGTGAATCATCATCAGATTCTTGAAACAATATTATGTTCATTTCAGAAGATTGACGTTTTGTTCTGGAAGAACATTCGTGAGGACTACAATGGCTTATGTCAGATGTGTTCAACAACCAATGATTTACTGGGAGATATGATACTATTGAGTTATACGTGTAATATTATATTCATCCTTGTTCAACTTTTCGTGAGTCTAAGGTAATATTTTCAATTTTATATCAATATCAATAGTCAGGAACAAAATGAGCTAAGAGAATATTGGCTCAAAGGAAAGAGAAAAATGATTTTATTTCTCAAGAATTAAACTCGTCTTCACTTATATCTATTTATTTCTAGAAGAAATATTTTTTTCTAGATTAGTAGTACTACTCAATTCTCCAAAGTGACCGAAAATCGTCATTTCTTGAATATTTCATATTTTGTAACAATATTGCTCAGAAGTCATTGTGGGCCATTACAAAAAAAGTTACATTATCCAAAAAATCATCAACTCACAAATCATCACCATAAACGTCGGCAAAATTCAATTTTTATTTCACTTCAACCATTGCTTGCACAACTTGGTTTTCAACTGTAAAGTACATCAATACACCGATCTCTATTCAATAATAGTACGAATTCATTTCAGAGATAGGGATGGAACAGTTGAAACAATTTACTTCTTTTCTTCATTTGGATTCGTTGTTGCAAGAACCGTCATCGTGTCCATTTATGGAGGATGGCTGAATGAGACTGCTAAATCTGCTCTACCTACTCTGAATGCAGTTCCAACTGAGATATATAATCCAGAAGTAAGTTAACTGTGAATATATCCTACAAAAATCTACTATTTCGTTTGTCTTCTACTGTCTCATCATTTTTGTCTCATTTTCCCAATTAATTTTTCATTCAAATATATCCAACTGATTGAGTTTATGAAAACAAATTGTATCATACAACAGGACACAGACAATACAGACGACTTGAAAATTTACAAAGCAGTTTCGTTTCTAGAAGATTACATTGCTTTGGATGTTGCCCTTGACAATTTCTTCACGTTCTCGTCGCCAACAAATTACACCTGAATCCTGATAAATGTAAGAAGATCATTTTACCAGAAGCAATTCACCTCACGGGAAAACGTTAACGCAGGTCAGTTCTGTGAAAGATCTTGGGGTCACTTTGGATACTAAATTAGCATTTGATATTTATATCGACAAAGTTGTTCGAAAAAGTCTTTGGAATCTAAGTTTTGAGGGTTACTAAAAAATTCAAGCACATCACTTCTGTCACAACCTTTCATAATGCAATTATAAAACCTAACCTTGAATACCCATCCGTAATATGGTACCCCTGCTACAACAACCACAGAAAAAAAAATCAAAAATATTCGAAGGAAGTTCGTCAAAACTCTTAATTACAGAGTTCATAGGCAACGGCAGTACTTTTCATGTAAATCTAATTTAATCTTAATATATATAAATTGTCCGCGATGGACCCCTAAACTACTCAACCGATTTCAATTAAATTTGCACACCATGTGCAGTTTGATCCAACTTGAAAGATAGGATAGCTTACATCTCAATTTATAGTCGCAATATTATTTTATTGCAAATTATTTGTCTATTAATGACATTCACAATTATCTGTTAACTTCAAACGATTGTAACAGATGGCGATATTTGTTGACGGGATTGAGTAAGTAATCAATAGATGGCACTGCTATGTTAAACCTACAATCGTGTCATACAAGCTACAATTCAATAGCAAAACCACCACTTGTTGTTGAGAATAAAGTATAAGTTAAATTTATTTTGTAGTGAAAGAAATACTGTGAAATTCAATTGTTTTTAATTTTTAAATCTTTGGTGTTAGCATAGCCGGCCACGTGTGATTTAGACTGAAGTGTAAATTGAATTCATATTATTGTAAAGGTACTAATACAGTGAAATTATTCCTGCTTTTTGATTATTTGTGCTTCATTGTTCAAAACTCTCTTATGAAAATATATACATGTAAGTATTATCACATAGTTATAAAAGTTAATTAATATATCTATATGAAAATGGTACAAAGCTCCCCACACTTTTCTATAATTGTAGAATTTTTTTTCATTATTTTTATTCAACCTCTGTTAAAAATTATTTTGCACTTCTGATTTCAATGTGCTATAATAGCATATTTCTCAATTTTCAACTGGAAAGTGTAAAGGAAAAGTGGTCCTGTTGCCACGTATTCCAATGATACCGTCACATTCCAGCATACCCTTCAGAAGGCTACAGCTTCCAATTCGTTTAGCTTTTGCCATATCTATAAATAATTCTCAAGGCCAAACAAAGTCCATTTGTGGTTCAGATTTGGAAAATCCATGATTTTCTCATGGGCAACTATATGTTGCATGTTCACGAGTAGGGAAACCGTCGAATCTATTTGTGTAAGCTAAAGACAGGGTGACCAAAAATATTGGGCACCGATTAGTGCTGAATCGAATTGAAATTAAAAGCAATTATAATTCAAAATAATAAATATTGTTATTAAAGATTTAAGACTATCTGCCCCACCTATCTCATTGCTAAGTTTAAGTGTCACATGTTATTTACTGATAACTTTGTAATATACTCATTTGTTACAAAATTGAATGAAAATAATGATTAATTTTAAAATTAATTCTTTTGTATTGATTTTTGCTTAATATCAACTGTACGAAAACTGTAATCAATCGTGTTCAAAGTCCTTCCACCTCAAATCCCAATCCAGTGGAATATTATACCAGCTTCAACGTTTCCGTCTTCGTTCGTGAATAATAATTTCATTGTAATAAGGGGTTACGGTAGTAGAAAATCTGTCATGGAGGTCGCCATATTTTTTTACAAATGGCATCTATGTAAAAACGCATAGTGATCCCCGTGACTGATGTTCTTCTACCGTTCCTCTTAAATAGTTTACTACAATGTAATATAACAAAAACCTCAACCACAGCAACGCGTGGCCGGGTCTGCTAGTATTTATGAATCAGAACACCTTGAACTCAGAAGAAAATTCTTCGATATCTGTTTGGTCTACAAATGTTCAACAACATTATTAAGTCACCGTACTGCTTTTTTTATTCCAAACTGTACACCATATAATATAAAAAATAGAATACTTCTAGTTATAGGTAGTGCTAATACAAATTTTGTTCTTTACTCTCCACTTTACAGATGAGTTCGCTCCTATAATTGCAATATTGGCGGCAATCAAGATCTGTACATTTTTCTACCATAATTTTGACTTTTAAAAAAATATTGATGCACATCTATTGAACTATCAAATTGAAGAATATGTCTCTAGGTTATTTCTTTTTCAGTTAATATCTTAGTGGACATCTGAATTTGAATTTTCCTATTTATTAACTCAATTATACGTATTACATCAGCAACAGAAATACTAATTTGTATATCTCCTACAAATATTTCGTTTCCAAACATTTGTTTATGTTACAGATAGCATGCCTCATCAATCAGATTCACACGAGCAGTCCCACCATGACAGGACACGACTTTTTTTCCATAACAAAAGGATTAATTCTAAGTGTAAATACGTCAAAGCGGAAACACCATCTAATTATTTAATTTTTAATTTTCTCTTTTTCAGATTGCAGCAACAATAATTACTTACGAGCTGGCTTTAATACAGTTCAATCAGGTTGCTCTCAAGAAATTTTCTTCAAATAATGATACGGTTTGTTACTAAATAGAATTGAAGAAGAAAACTATGTCAATATTTGTGTAATTTTGAGGAAATTTCGAAATAAAATTTAATAATATGAGCATTTTTTTCAAAAATATAGGTTTCTGTGTCAACGTTGCTTTTCGAGTTGGTGACCGTGTTCTCCAGGTTTTTGTCTACAACTGCGGTTGATTTTTCCAAGTCGATGACGCAAAAGACGAAGAGTTTAGTTATCCACATATTAAATATGACATAGTTCCAGATTTGAAATCGACAACGAAGCAATCATGAGAACAACCCAAACCCAATCGCTCAGAAGCTGCCTGTCGCTCATCGACCAAAGCCGATAAGCATTGGATCACTGAAAGATCCCGACTACTCAAGGTCTCACTAATGATGTCTGCCGCAGTAGCAGGTTCCATTCGACCACTGCCTACTAGCCTCGATTTTGTTCTCTTCAATTTGACTCCGGCCGTGAAAACCTATGTTCTCATAGTTTATTTTGAACTCAGTTGCTTCCTTCATAACTTTGGAAGTTTCCAACATTTTTTTAATGAAGATGGAGAAGTGAAAGCCAAAAATCTTCCTTCACTAACGATACCACATATGTCTTTATATTTAAATGTTGAAAAACATCTGAAGGAAATATCTGTTCGTGTTTTCGGTAACCAAGTAGTCATGCTATGAAATCCCACCCATCAGCATGTCATGGCACATAATTCCGCTATCTACGTCAATCAGTTCGAAGTTGTTGAGTTGGATATCAATATGTCTTGGTATAATCATATCACTTCATCAGCTGAGGAAAATGTTCATGAACTTATTTCTTTCTAGAAATTTGTACACATCTCAGCATCTTTTAAGCTTCCAAATTAGACTTTGTTTGGGATACTGATCATATGTGGGAAGCTCTGAGGTAGTTAGATCCTATCAAAAAAAAGGTCATTCTCCTGATTGGAGACACAAGGATGTAATCATCCTCTATAGCCTGAAACATGAAAGAAATTTTTGGGAAAGAAAGTTTTTGGCTTTCTAGTACTCCATCTTGATACAAAAAAAAAAAGATGAGGGAATCTTACAAAGAAAGGAAGGAAGTAATCAATTTAAAAATAAGTAACTCTATACATGGATGCGTAGATCATGCAAAGAAGTAACTTTCATATCATGATCTACACATCCATGTATAGAGTTTCTTATTTTAAAATTGATTACTTCCTTCCTTTCTTTGGAAGATTCACTCATCTTTTTTTTGTATCAAGATGGAGTAGTAGAAAGCCAAGAACTTTCTTTCCCAAAAATTAATCACTCCTAAAAATATAACCCCTTCAATTCATGAACAAAATATTTTGGAATTGTCTCTTTTCTATAGATATTTTCAAGAGAACTGTTTGACTAGCATAGACCGCCACCGAAGTAGCACATCAAGCAAACTATACTCATATACTGAATAAGAACTATAAACTTCCATTTTGAGAAGGAGATCTTTGAGGAAAATTTTATAAAAATGTTTTCTTCATTTTTACTAACTTTTCTGTCCAACTGTTGATTCCATCTTATCCAATGCCCTTAACCAATTTCCACGAACAATATTTTATTGACAAACCTATCATCAATCAAAATATTTTCGCTGTTTTTTCCCATGTTGCCAAAGAGACAGGACTAAATATTCAATTTCTATGGGGATCGTGTTGATATTTGTCTGAGAAGCCTTAGATTTGTATCACTTCAATATTCGCTCTTATCTTAAATCACTACACCGTTCAATATAAATTTGTTTTCTGGAAAAGCAAACATTTTGAATTGAGTTCAGATTGTTTCAATATATTGCTCTTTTATATATTGCTCTTTTATATATTGCTCTTTTCAATTTCATGCTCTAAGCAAAAATAATTCTGTTGTTTTCAGGTCAAATCGTTTTAACTGTCAATCGGATGATTCTCTTCGAACAACCTTAAAAAATTGCATGCCTTGACGATTCGGGAAAATAATGAGTTTTTTGAATATTTTACAAAGATTCAACAAAGTGAAAATACCGATCGACTAATTTACTGGGGAAAAATAAGACAAAATACTGAAACAAAGGCTAGTAATATGTTTAGATTGAAAAGGGTATATTTTTAGGAGAGGTTAATTTTTTGGAAAGAAAGATTTGGGATTTCTGCTACTCCCTCTTGATATAGAAACATGCGGGAATCTTTCGAAGAAACGAAAGAAGCAATGAATTTCAAAAACTGGAAGAAAAAACCTTTTCGAAACAGCTACTTTCATATAAACATTGAATTACACGAAAGAAAAATACTTTGGAAACAAATACTTCTACATGAACACTGAATTATATAAAAATACTTTTCTCGATTCAGTTTGTATTCCAAACATTCATTATGGAATCGAATCAGATTTTATCCATAGGATTCCTACACAAAATTTCACTTACACGGACACAGTCATCCTCACTGGTAGACATCCGATGTTTCGCCGTAAGACACTTGCTTCATCAGCTCTTCAGTACTAATTTGGATAACATTGTGAGAAAAACACACAATCAACTCATTCCATTATGTCACGGAATGAGTTTGATCTACTCATGTCATCGACGACATTGTAATGTCATTCTATTGCTTTTTTCTTTTTTCTCAACGAGAGACAAAACTGAAGCGTAAAAAGTTGAACACATGCACTCTAGAGTAAAAAAACATATTTACATACATATTTATACTTAAGTATATATGGTTGTCACACCAGTAGGTGGTTCCACTTATGTCTCGCTTGCGTTTACGCAGTTATTTTCATCAAGTACTTTTCTTGGTTATTCATATTTTGCTTTCAATCGAGGACCGTCTGCCCTGTACTGACGATGCTCAATAGGCTGAAACAACTGTCTACCGGTGGCTCATAAATTGAAATCAATATGGAAATGATCAGAATAGTACTCATTTATTTATCTTTTGATTTTCGTGAAATTATATGTACCGGTTGGGCCATCAAAAACTTGACATGGAGGTTTTGGGTACTAATCTTGCAAATTCGAAAAAACACTCAGACAGGGCGATTTTTATTGGGAGCGGGGCAGTTTTTCCGCATTTACAGCGTCGTTACTTCAACCCCGGAGCAGAGGGATGAACAACCCTTGGTATTTTAACAGGGAATAGGGGGCAAGTCGCGACATGTTGAAGACTTTTTTCAAAATCAAAATTTACAAATTAAATATCCCCACATAGCACAGGTATGTGTACAGACAGCTAAAAACGGTTTATTTCTGAACTCCTGAATCTCTTTCACAATCGATTTTGTAAACATCCTGTATAGTGATATGAATTTTTCAGAAAAGGTATCATTAGGTTGAAAGACTTATCCTGTTAATACACCCCATTGTGCCAAATGGAATTAAGGATCCTTTCAAAAGAACACCTTGGGAAATGGAGATCGCCATGATGATTCCGATTTGTAGAAAACAAGACAAAGAATGGAGCGAATAAAGTGTTATTAAGATAATTCGAGAACAAATTAAGTGGGCTGCGAATGCATAAAACGAATTCTCTCTTTTTGTTTGATGAAATTAAGTAAGATTAAAGAATAATTATAACGAAATGAAAGGAATACTAGCCTGCAGATGATTTAGGATTTTCCAGGGGTTGATTTTCTTTTGTTAATACTCCAAATTCGAAGGATTATTTTATCAGTCACGGAACATTAGGAAAACGCTGTTTTCCATTCCACTCGCCTTCTCCATACAAAAATATGCAGGTTTGTGAAATATTTCATCTTAATGTAGTTGTAGTCTTTCAGAATTTGGAAAGTTTGTAAGGAAATTATCCAGATAAGTATATTAATTTTTTTGAGAGATATAAATGAACATCTTCAGAATTACACGAAGGAACTGAACTGAGGAGATAAATTTATTTGGAGTTTTTACTGCATGTCTTCACTTGAGTAACATATGATCACCATACAATTTCAGCTAAATTATTTTCATCATTTCCAAGCTTGCTTATTTGAAGTATCTCTTCACGATAGCTTATCATTTCACTGATGAAGCAAAGTTGCTTCTGTTCGAAGTGATATTCATTGAAAACTAAAAATATATTGCGTGAATATTAGTTTTCTGATACTTTTTATCTGTTCTATAACAGGCAAATTCCATAAATACATCATTTCAGAAATTATTATGCATTTTTCTAAAATAATCCTTTTGGATTTCAAAATTACTCTTGTTGAAGATATGTAGTGGACACAAAGAAAATCCAGATACATACTGGAAGAAAAAAACTCGTTTTGAAACAACTACTTTCACATGAACATCTAATTACACGATAATCATTGTTTATTTTGTCTGACCTTTTTTTAGTGTAAATTGTGCTCTTCCCAGCTCTAAAGTTTATTCACATATAGTTGATACACCCTGTATTAATTTTCTGTACATGAAATCATTATGACGGATTGTACCCACTGATAAATCAGAGACTGAATTCCATCACCAAGGGTTGCTCTACCTACCGACATTGCTGGTAAATGAAGCGGTGAAGCAAACAATATCGGAGGATCAGTTAGGCCTGTTCCATTAGGTCTGGTATATGCGGATTTGTGGTATCTAAGTGAATCGCCTTCGTGATTAATTGAGAGTTTTCAGACACTGACAGTTCAAAACTTCACGTAGATATTTCATTAAATAGTACCTTACTCAACAAATCCGGAAAATATTGTTTTTTGAACGAGTAGAAAAAATTCTAGAACGAGCCGTTGGCGAGTGCTGGAAGCATAAGAGTCCAAGAAAACTGTTTTCGGACGTGTTGCGTATACTATTTCTTCGGCAACACATTTCTTTATTACATTTTTTGTAGAACAAATTTTCGAATATTCAAATTCCTATTTGTTTTGAATATTGACATTGGATCAGAAGACAGGTGCTTAAATACATTATAATTCTCATTTATATTGAAATGAAAATTCGGGCAACTGCTAGCATAGAAGTGAATAAATTTAATAGAAATGCTTGCTATATTCAAATGCCTTTTGTTGGAGTCAGA